TATAACTATACATAGAACATTTATACAAACTTTTATATATTCAACTTTTGTTTTGAAATGAAAATCCAGACGACAGTAAAACGTATCTGTTATTGTAATTATTTAGCTCCTCCCACCTTCCCGTCGCTGACCACGTCGAGCCGATGCCAGCGGCGGTCAGTAACGGTGGATCGGGGCGGCAGCTGCAGGGTCAGCGTCCCCGACCCGTGGTTGATGCTCAGCGCCGGAACGCCGTTCCTCAACTCTGCAGGGAGGAGGAGCAGAAAGAGGAGGAGGAGCAGAAAGAGGAGGAGCAGAAAGAGGAGGAGCCGAAGGAGGAGGAATGTGTGAGTGTGTGTTTTGGCTCCAGATGGAAACCTCTGCTCTTTGATTCCTTCAGACATTTTGCAGTTATTTAGTAACAATAATCATCAAATCACAGTTAAAAATTGTCTTTAATAAATAAATAACTTCATAATAAAAGACAACGACCAACCGACGGCGATGAAGTCCTCCTGCTCGGCGGAGTGGGCGGGGCCTAGCGGCCCGTCGTACAGCAGCAGCCCATTGGCCGACTCGGCCAGGAACTCCAGCGAGATGTGGCTGTGAAAGCAAGGCATGATGGGAGGGAACCAGGCGTAGCCCCCGCCGCCGAAGCTGCGTTTGGTCTGCTGGCACTCGGGCCCGTCGAACATGGGAGGGCAATTACACCTGGGGGGGTATTTACTGTCATCATCCATGTAAACTCATCATTAGGAATCATTTTAAAGGTTTATATGTACAAACGATTAATCCCTGAAACTAAATATATATATTTTCCTAAAACGTAATATTTTGATCACTTTTCTTGCTCAAACAACAAACAACAAAGTTTTTATTGTCAAAAGCAGTTTTGCATCTCGGTGGAAACGTGGAAATAAACGCAGGCTGTTCCCGGACTCGTACCTGTACCCCAGCGGGCCGTCCCGGCAGGCCCCCCCGTTGCGGCAGGGGCTGTTGGGGTAGGAGGAGCACGGCAGGTGGGCGGCCTCCCGCCCGCGGCAGCCGCACCGCGCCGCCACCGAGGCCGGCAGCGACACCAGCGCGGCGGATCCGGCGCCGAGCGCCACGGGGACCGGACCGAAGGAAACGTCGGTGCTGCAGCCTCCGGACCGGCTGCAGTCGGTGAAGGGACACTCGTCCACGCCCACCTGGGAGATGGACACGCCCAGCGTGGCCTCCAGCTGATGGGGGGGGGGTTAGCATAGCATAGCATGAAGCTGAAGTCAGAGCAGGAAGCAGTGACACAGAGACCATGATAACAAATAATAATAATTAACATTTGTCAAGTACATTTTTGTTATTCTAACGAAATAAACAACAGTTTTCAAAATGTTTATATATTTCTTTTGTAAACGCATCAAAACATTTGATATTAATAATACTTTTCATAAAACCAAAAAATTATTTCAGGATATTTTTTTAAAACAAAATCAATATTTCACAATGTTTTCCTAAAACTGAAGATATTTTGTTACTTTTACTACTCTTATTACTTGTTATATAACTAGACATGAACTGAGATTAATCCTAGATATTAAAATAAAGTTCTGTGTTCTTGTTGAGGAAACAATCCCTTAACATCTCTACCGTTATGAATCACTTTCTTATTAAAGCAGTAATTCTCAAACATCTTTTATGTCACGACTCACTTTGGAGGAAGAAAAATGTTCCAACCCAAAGAGTTTGTACAAGTTTTTTTTATAGAAATGTCCTTTTGTTACTCCTCCATTTAGGCTTTTTCAAATAATGTAATAAGAACAAATAATTAAACCAGAATGCTCCATCAGAAGAAAACAAATAATAAGGTTATATTTGTTCAAACATTACAAACATCTGTCGGTTTATTGTGTCTGTAATTAACCCGTTACGTCCTCTTTATTTATCAGTGTGGAGTTTGGTCTGTTTTTAGTTTTGGGAGGAGAAATCGGTCTGTGTACTTTGTACATTTGTATTATGGGAAGTTCTCATTATACTGTAGTTCTTGAAATAAAATAATTCTGAATGTTTCCCATGCGACCTACTAGAGGGTCGCGCCCCACAGTTTGAGACACTGTATCAAAGCACGTTGACTCAAGAGAGAAGCTCCTCACCTGCGCTCTGCTCGCCGCCACGATGCCGAGCAGCTTTTCCTTCCTGTAGGGGGCGGCGCCACGAGCCCAGAACCACACGGCCAGCGCCTCGCCCCCCCCTCGCCGCCCGGCGCCGCCCGCAGAGAAGATCTGCACGTCGGCCGGCGAAGTCTGAAGGAGTTCAGCCAAAGAGCGACCGAGACGAGAGAAGAGGCTCTCCTCCGCCGCCCCCCCCCCCAAAGAACTCCTCCACCGACACATCTGGAGGAGGCGACATAATGACGATCATGTATGAGAACGGCTGAAAAGGAGGAGGAGGGAACAAGTGAAGGAAAGACAACTGAAACAGGAAGGAAAGCAGGAACGAGGGAAGAAAAGAAGCGTAAGAAGAAAGTAGTAAAGGGAAAGAAGGAAGGGAGGAAGTCTCGAGAGAGAAGAAGAGGGAGGCGGAGCTTCGGGGGATCTAGCTCTCGTCGATTACCGTTACCGTGGCAACCAACTCACTGAGGAGGCGCAGAGGAGGCGGCGTTCTTCAGCGCCCGCCGGCTGAAGCTTCCCGCACCTTCCACCCGAGCC